GCTTTCCGGGACATCTCCTTTAGATGTCGATATCAGTATTTCCTTGCCTCTGAAGGAAAGCGGTCTCCTTGCATTCAATGTATTGCTTGACCACTTCACGAGATGGCGGAGGATTAAAATGTATTTTCGCCCCACCGCTGCCCTGGATGACGAAATCAGAACATGGTCCTCATATTCTGCTTCCCGGTTACGCTCAGCTTGCTCCGACGTGGTTTCTTGTCATGCCGACCAGACACACTTCCCCATCCTTGAATCCCTTCGACTGGTCAACCACGATGGTGAACGTGACTACGAAGGACTTCTTCATTCCTTGTCCTCTTGTCCCCGACTTCATACCCTCGATCTCCGCGGCAGATTTTCCTGGTCGGGCTTTGGTTGCATTGGCCTGTCGCATCTTACGGAGTTGAAAGTACATACATTCGCTGGAAAATCTGTTGCGGATCTGCTTTGCCGTTTACCCTCGCTGCAGAAGTGCGAGATATCTAATATTGCAATCGACTGATCCTCACACCCACGGCCGGCTTTACGGAGGAGGGTCAGTATACTTCAAACCTCGCTCACCTAACAATACACACCGATTACGACTTCCTTCCTCCTGGATCCTGGAAATCTCTATGTCTGCCGAAATTATCTACGCTGGTAGTCTGTCAGAACCAGTCCTTGGGTCCACCCGACTTGAGCGAACTTGCTTCGATGCTTGTTCGCTCCCAATGTAGGCTGAAGGAGCTGGAAATACACGGTCTTCCCGTTGCTTCTGAATCGCTAAAGGCCTTGATGACATTGCCCAATCTCACAGAATCTACTGAAAAATTCAGCATATTCATCGCTTATCCGCAACCCGAATTATTCAGTGGTATCGCGGAATTACTCACTCTTAGGGAGAACTCTCCCAGCTTTGCACCAAACCTCCGGTCTCTTAACATCTGGTGGAGTACGACTGGTGTGGCATTCGCTGAGGCCTACTACTCTGATGGAGACAGGAAACCGCTTTCTAAGGAAGAAATTACGGTTCAAATGAAGACCTATTCGAAGGAATTGTGCGCGAATGGCAAAATCCAGATGCCCGAGCTTCGGTGCTGTTACCCCGAGAAAGTTGGAGAAGTTCATGCTTGAACTCGTGTATTGGGATCGTGATGAAGAAATCATAAAGCGTTTCGCCAAGGCTGTAGAATCTCGATTTTCGCGTCTCGAACGCGATGGTTTGGAGGTGCTCATTTCAGCTATATCCAGACATACATCAACACGAAGCTGGTAATCTCGTCATAAGTAGTCATAGTCATTTGCATCCTACAAAAATACATGTCGCAACAATAGAATTTTTATCATATAGCAAGATGAAATCATCTGCCAAAAGACGGAACAAAGCTCTCAACGGGGCCTGGCGAATCTCAAGAATATTCAACGAAAGCAGAAGAGAATATTACGATATTTTAAGCCCTTCTCAATTTAACACGCGATATCGAGTACGGGTCCTTTGCAGTATTCATAGTTCCAATCTGACCTTTTCATGCTCACATATTCAGTTCAGACTGCTCTATTGCTCAGCTGATAGAGTCACATAGACCAAACCTCTTCCAACTTGCTACCACCAGCTCCCACCGAGCACTCGAGAAACCTCCTGCTGAGGCGTCACAAGGGTATCTCTTCCTGTGCTATTCAAGTGCCATTTATATCGCTTGGAATGTAGTAGTTCGTATCAGGATTCGGAGTCCTTCTCTTTTCCTTTCGATATGGCTTCCTACACACCCCCAGGCAATGAGAAGGCAGAGATCGTTATGGAAGAGCAAGCAAATCCAACTGCTCTGCCCGAAGAAGATCCTCTTCCGTTGGAAGGGACGCCAGAACGCCTCCTTGCAGAGCGAAAGCTAGTCAGGAAACTGGATATAAGGGTTATGCCTACCATCATTCTAATATACATCATGAACTACATCGTTGTGAGTATTCAGAATTATTAGTATTAATTTTTGTGCTTATAATTTACTTTAGCGAGTTGCTATTTCGGCTGCTCGATTGAAGGGTTTGGAAGAAGATCTTCATCTATCTGGTCTGCGATACTTTTCGGGACTTGCAGACGATTAATGACCCTCTTCCAGATCTGCAATACAATGTCGTTTTATCAATTCTCTACGTAACTTATTGTCCGGTGCAAATTCCCTCGAATATGGTGAGTGAGCCTCTTTTGATCTATAAAGACTGCGCTGAACATAATTACTCCAGATATTGAACTGGATAACAAGGTTTGTACATTCATTATGTGTTTATGAACAACGTTAGATTATACTCGCAGACCATCCTTGTATATTGGAATATGTGTCGTGCTTTGGGGCTTGACTAGCACGATGACCGGAGTGAGTTTGGTTACTGTATTTTCGGAGAATACCTCATCGCACGCCTGCCTGTAGGTGACCCAATCGTACGGTGGTATTCTCATTACTCGACTGTGTATTGGTATACCTGAGGTGATTGTTGTTCGTTGCTTCTATACCTTGAAATTGAGTGACCTTGCTGGCAGAGTGCATTCTATCCTGGCAGTGAGCTATTCTTCGAAGACTCAGGCTGTTCATTGTCTGACCCAATGGGAATCAGCTGTTACCTACTGTCACGTTGGTATACCAAAAATGTGAGAGATCAAACAACGCGAGCTTCATACCATACGTGCTCAAAAAATCGTAGGAGCTCGCTTTTAGATCAGCTATCCTCTTTACTGGTCTTATGATCGCAAATGCGTTTGGCTCGGTAGGCACTGAACGACAAGCAATCGATCAAACTTATCATCTCCGTAGCTCATGGCTGCTGGTATTCTTGCTAATATGGAAGGTAAACTCGGTATCCGTGCATGGCGATGGTATGTGTCCTACATCTTACATTAAAGATGATAACTTCATTTGAACTCATTAGGCTGTTTTTCATTGAGGTATATGATGTATTCCTCAAGTAGTGCGCTTTACGCACTGAAAGATTATAGGGTGCCATCACCATGTTTATTGGCTTGAACGCCATGTAAAGTCTACATCTCCTTTTGCTTTGTTTATACTTTCTGACACTTAAGCAAGGTGGTTGTTGCCAGACTACGTGTGTATGGCTCTGAGGTGGTTGACTCAGACTAACGCTAGCTAGCCCCCTAATACGCGATGGGTCACTCCTCAAGAGAGTCGCCTGGCGCAAGCACGGCTCGCAGACGATGCAGGTGAAGCTGACAAGGACAACGCCGAGGATTCGTTAGTCGTTTCTGCTTGAACATATGCGGTGCTTACTTGACTTGCAGGCCCCTCAAAGGACTTTTGATGGCAATGAAAGATCCCAAAGTTTGGGTTTTCTCGATAATGAATGTCGCTCAGTTACTCGGGCTCAGTTTTGTGAATTTCTTCCCCACGTAAGTTCCTCTTCGATTTCTGTATCTTTCCTGTGAACCTGAGAACATCTAGACTAACATCCACGCTTGGGTTTGATACTACTATTTCGCTGGTGCTCGCAGCGTATGTCGATTTCATTGTCAACTTCTTTCAAGCTCATTTAGCCCTTTAGACCCCCATGGATCTTGGCGACTATTGTGTGCTGCCTGAATGCCTGGCACGCTGGTATGATTTTAGAATTTTCGTTTGGTTCGGCTAACCTTCAAGTTGTCCCCTCAGATCGCACAGGAGAGAGATTCTTCCATCAAGGTTCATGGTGGTGGGGATGCATGCTCGGTTTCATCATTTCCCTTGCCACAATGAACACTGCAGCGCGATATGTGTCCATGTTCTTAATGGCTTGCGGATATACTGGTATTGCTAGTCTGGAATATGAAAGCGATTTAAGCTTATTTCTTTCGTACTAGGCTTCGCACTGACCATTGTTTGGGCCTCCAACGTTTTTCCTCGTCCTCCAGCGTCAGTTCCTTTGTCGAGCCTTCCATGTTCTATTGCCTAACTAAAAGTCGACAGAAAAAGAGCCGCTGTCATTGGTTTAGTCAATGGCATTGGAAATTTAGGAAATTTGTACGCCAAACCGCGATTTCCTTGCCTTAATTGTTTATACTCAATGAATTTTTCTAGAATGGGTTCATATACTTGGAAATCGGAATGGGGACCAGGTATTTGCACCCGTAGAGACAGAAAGATTACTACTGACATAAGAATTCGAGATTATCATCCATCAATGGGCATTTCATTTGGCGCTTTTGCCATCGCTACCGTGCTCGGTATAGGTGCGTTTGCAAATGCACGGCGAAGCATCCAACTCATTATATCACTCTCTTCTTCTATAGTTCTTCGACAATGGATCATTCGAGACAACAAAAAGCTGGACGAAGATGAAAAACTGGCTTTTGGTGAAGCTAATCGTGCCCGTGTAGAAGAAGCAGCCCGTCTCGAGGGTATTACTTTCGACAAAGCGATGCAAAGAAGGAAAGGATTCCGCTACTTGTACTGAAGTCATACCAAAAAACAGAAAAAAATACATACACATGTACAGTGTTCTCACGAGTTCAGCTACAAATGAATCTAAGACATGAACGATTTCAGAGGACTGTTTAGATTTTCGTCTTGAAATTACCAGTACGAGTGCACATTTATCTGTCAATACAAAAAGGGCCGGGATGCCCTATAGGAAAAAGCCCATCTCAAATCCTATCAAGAAAGGTACTGACAATTTGCGTCTTGCTTTAGGTAATGAAGACTCTGGAACTGCACTAGCTGGTGATATCGGTGCATCGTTGGAGATCTTGGCGCGTCGTATTAGAAGCGAAATGCTCAACCGGGCAGTTAATCTGCTTTTAGCCAATGCATCTTGGAAGTTCTTTATATCTTGATGATTTCAATAAATAGCACCTCGCATTCATCGTTGCTCTAAATTCGTAAGTACGAACTGGATCCCTTTGGATAGGATTTAGTAAATAGATATGGGACTGGATGTGGGTAATCAATCAGTGATCTTGGAGAATAAATCAGCGAGTTACAGTAGATCAAAAAGAAAGACCTACATGGAAATGTTTCACCCAACGTTCACCTGAAAAAAAATGGACAAGTCCGGAATTGAACCGGAGACCTTCCGCATTGACACCACAGTGGACTATAAATGCAAAGCGGACGCGATAACCCTACACTACATGCCCATAACCTGCTTGACTTATCGAAATATTGTCTTAGCATTAGACCTGGTAGAACGCTCTCAACACCGACAGTTATAGTGAGTCTGAACAAACGGTCGCTTGGAGATGTTCTTAGTGTCATCGATGCGAACCAGTTCTTCAGTTGCCAGACGTCTTGCGTGAACTCGGACCGTGGAGCTTGAGACTCGACGGTTTTCTCGAAAGGAGTGTATACATACACCACCTATCCTGCAATTCTGATCATCGAGGATGGATCAGTGCTTTAGAAAGTGGCTCATGTAGGTTGTAAAGATACGTTGCTGGCTCAGAACTCCCTCAAGACGACACTAGTGCCGGCGCGGGTACATTGATGCATCGTCGAGTTACGGTAACGTGGTTGGAGTGCGCTGCATCTGGGAGATTAGCCCCGCCCACCATGTTCAGACCGGCACAAGGACTCGGAGACGGAGACCTAAAAGGACAATCAAGCTCCTGCGCCCTTCCAGCAAATTTCTCATCCGGCCTTCTCATTCAAAGTACGTCGCTTCCAAGTTCTATTCACCTCTATCCGTACGAGACAGTGACTTGGATACTATCTCCTGGTGGCCACCATTTCCACCATTTCTCCCAGGTACCCGCTAATTTACCGTCTCCTGATCAAATCGTCGCTTTGTGCGAGGAGGTCGGCTACGGCAGCGAGAGAATAGCCTTCACTGACCCGGTCTTGGCCTGGTTCAAGTACGAGCCCAACGTTACTATGGGCAGGCATGGGTCTCTGAGTACCTTGTGAGTACCTGAGCTCCAAGCCAGAGGCCGGCGTGAAAGTCCCTTGTGTCCAAGTCTACATGGCTTTCACAAGCCCCACCTCGCCTGCACCATTGGTTATATAATAATGGAGCATATTGCTGCCCCAGATTGCAAGGACAGCGACTACTATCGAGCAGGTAGTGCGCGCCGTGGACACGCTCATTCACATCGAAGCTCCAAAATCTATGCCCGGACACTTTGGTGGGGGAGAAGTGGTCCACAACTTGTTCTGGAAATGGGCAACTGGTAAATAAAAGACGAGCAAAGCGCTGCAGAACCACGCGAACGGCGCAAGTATTAATTCTCCAGTACACTAAGCGCGTTAGTTTCGAGGCCAAAAGGCTTTACCTTTGCCCGGTCGATATCCATCCCTGTAACTTCAAAATCCTCAAAGACGAAATAGTGGTGCTAGACTTTCATGCGACTTGCTTTTTACCTGCATCCTTTTACCGCCTGCACGAAGTTGCGTCGGCGGAAGCCAGCGCATAACTTTACGCGGAAAGTTGCCTTAATACAAGAAATAGAGTTATTCAGAAAAGGGACGTTTGGATATTGTGTGCTTCTTGGTAGAGAATTGTGCAGATCCCAATGCTCGAGGTTTGTGAGCAGGATGTTTATACTCATCTCTAAGAGAAAAAACACAGGTTACCAGCAAAAGAGCGCCCTTGAACGCGCCTCAGGAAAGGGACATTACACTTCTTGGTAGAGAAGGGTGCAAGTCCCAATCCTCGAGGTATGTGAGCAGATAGATATTTACATTAATCTCTAAAAGAAAATTACAATTAACCAGGGAAAGAGGGCGCTTAAATGCACCTCAGAATGGGGACATTCGGATATTTTGCACTTCCTGACACCTAGAGAAGGGTGCAGATCCCAAAGCTTAAGGTATACACCAATTTCTGAATTCTAAATAACCGTTGAACGAGCGGAACACTTTATAAATTAATAATCGATTAGATCCAAGACGTAGTCCAGATGTTTACAAGGTATCAAGTTCCTTTCATAAATACTGCGCTTAATTTCAAATTGAAGATCATATTGCCGGCTGAATTGAGGTGACCACCGGTCCTGTAGGGCATGGAGGACTCTATGCATCATAGGTGACGCATGAATTATCCCTTTAGAATCCAATGAAGAGCAGGAGCGACTGTGCCTCAGTCTTCGAAGTTTTGGTCTTGTGTCAGTCAGATTAAGACTGCAATCATAGGTATGGCCATGCCTTTCATGGCAATGTCGGCTCCAAGGCAAAAATGCCGTCCCTTTATCTTTTGCAAGATAAAAATGTCAGCACCAGGTTTAATACTTATCTCATAAATGAAAAAAGACAATTACCTATGCTCATTTGCAAACTCATCTTAGTATGATTCTCTGGAGTGATAAGTTCCCAAGTATCATCAACATTTTCTACTGCATCTGATGGAATTATTAAATTGACAAAGTAAGTGCTTAACTTTGAGGATTATGATTGCTTGAAAAACTTACCTTCTAATGAAGCAATCATTTCATAACCCTCATTGTCTAATGTATCATCTGCAGGCATAAAAATGGGATAGTTTTGATCCCGTGCATAATCTAGTGTGTTAGGGTCAAAACCCTTATCTTTTATGTATTTCAATATAGCAGAAATCCCAATAGCATCCCAATTCTCTCCCTCCACCAAGGTTTCAAAGGAAGGAAGGCCTAGAAGTCTCTGTGTTTTTTCATTCATTTGGATAGAGCCTGTTGGGTCCATTGCCCAAAAATAAGGCTTATCTGCAAAAGCAAACTGTACTATGCCCTGCACATAAGAAATCTTCACAGGTGCGATGTAAAGGTAGACTTTGGTGGAAAAGACTGCATCTTGCCTGATAAAGGGCGGCCCATATATGCGTAGCATCATACATATTTTTGAGCCAAAGAATACTGTAGGAGTCTGTTTTAGATTTATATCAATGAGAGTAGAAATCTTTAGTACCAAATCTATCAGATTTATTTTGGAGAAAATAGCCCAATTGTGCTAACCAGGCCGCCGAAAGATCGGTTCTTGCAGGTTTGGCCTCTATATCAATCGTAAATTCATAAAAATAAGAGGGTTCTTGAACCGAAAATTCCACTCTGCAACACGGTATATATTTTAGTATTAGGTATTTAGAGCATAGAAATTGGGACATACCGAGTCCAACCGTGATGATCCCTTGTTACTATACAGTTTGAGTCTTTGTAAAGTGACCTCCATCTACCAATAGAATATAACAGAGTGGGTTCGAGAGGCACTTGTGCAATGCATTGTAGTGCTTTACAATACTATTAAGTAAATATTAATTATAATCTTATGAAAAATGACAAGGAAAATTACAAGCTGATGAATATGCAACACTGATCCAAAGGAAAAGGGGCCTGAATATAATACAGCAACCTTTCCAAAAAGCCTCATGCCCACAAATGACTCCATAGTCTTGTAATGGTTCTCAATGTGCTTGAGAATGACTTCGTTTGATGTATAATCTTGGAGCATGAGTGAAGGCCCCATATTTCCGTCGGAGGTAGGGGAGGACACAACAAAGTCCCTCCATGTTAGTTGAGAAGACCACTGCACAGCATCAGTTGGACTGATGAGATTTTCAAGCTGCCAGGGAAAGTTAGGCTCCAATATTGGACCATCTGGACCTCGGCATATCAGTCCAGATGTTGGTTGTATCCAATGTTGAGCTGGCACAATAGCCTACAGAGTTTAAAGGTTAGGTTTAGTACATTTTTAACCTGACCCAGTAACCAACCTGCTTATCATAAAAGTCTGTCTGTGCAGCTGCCAGAGCATCAACTAACTAAGAGGAGTCAATATAGGGAACATGATTGTAGGTGAAAATCTGCAGATGGTACTGCCATTGATATACTTACAAAGCGATATCTGAGATATACTTGTGCAAAAGGATTGAAAGTGAATTGGCTGATAAAGTATGTTATGGGAATGAGCTCTAAAAAGCATAAGTTGAGCATAAGTATTTTTTTAAAAAAATATCATCCCCAGGAAGAAATTTATTGAACAGACCATTATGCAATAACATTGCTGGTAAGTCCCACTGGATAATTCCAAACAACTGTGCCAGATTAGGGTGCCTAGAAGAGGTATGAAATATGGTTAGCAATTCAATGTATCACAAGAGTAAAACATCCAGTACCATGTTTGAGAATATCTTGCTAAATCATCTTGAAAAGCCTGATGACAAAGGTACTACAGATTTAAGATAGGTAAAAAAACATGCATGGTGGCAGACCTTTCTAGCTTCAGGTCCTTTATAGCTCATGGCAGTGAACTTCTGGGATTCTCCTAGCCCAACGACCTGAACAGTGTTAATTGAGCATACAGCCTTCACTGAATCCAGCCTCTTCTCATTCACACAGCGAATGAAAAACACATCACCAAAGGGAAAAACACGGAACTATGTTTTAGACAATGTTAAGAGTAATCTTAAAGTCATGAGGAATGAATGTTCAATATACTCACTGTTTTCCCTGAAACAATTGTAGTTCTAGGACCATGAAAGTTGTTTTTCACTACAAGGTCTCCGGAAACCACGTTGAATGCAGATCCTTGTATGTTGAAATGGGACGCTTTTTCGAAGAATTTAGGTGCAACCATGGTATGCGACTCGGAAAGATAAAGAACTGTTGAAGAACTGGAAGGATTAAACTGGAAGGCAAAGCGCAGCGCCGCTGCAAAGACGACGTGGACAAGGGAAGAAGCGAAGCCTGATGTTGCTCTAAAGAATATCCCGTGAAAAAACTGAAAAGTATAGCCTCAGTGTTTCAGGAGGCATGGTGATTGGCTGCACGATTTGCATACACACAATACCGGGAAGCGACACTATCAACTCTTTATACCCGTAACCTAGTAACTGGTATTGCTGCGGATCCAGAATCTGAGTCACCGGTGTTTGCCGCAGCTGCCCGTAACATCCATCCATACATTGAATTGATTATTGAGGTCAGAGTGCTCTGGAGTATGAAGAGCTATGGACTATGGGTGCTAGCTGTGGAGTTGGTCTCACTCAAAACCTTGCAAGTATAGGGAAGGGAGCAAAAAGATGCATATGATACATAGTTGATATTTAGTCTACCTAATATCAAGTACGACTTTACTAGCCAAATTAATTAAACTAAGTTATTTAATACTTACTAGTATGAATATTGGATGGAGGGACTTGGAAGTCGTACACAAATGCAGTATGAGTGAAATT